CCATCCCTTTGTGCTTGTATCTCATAACAGAACAACATTATATATATATATATATATATATATATATATATTATGCAGTGTTGGTAGGGGTAGCTCATAATTTAATGAAGGGGTGGCAAGTTATACTTTACAGATCTGCACTTTACGTTTAAAGCGACCTATTGTAACATTCGAAGATAGTTTGAAGTTAATTCTATAACTTTTGTTTTTGTTTCTAAACTGTATATGCGTGTATCTTACGATAAAAAAAGTGTTAGACTGTTGAAGTGCATCAATTATATATTGTCATTATTGACTTAATTTTTATTATAATACTGAATGGGTACATAATTACGGGTGACACTGTAGGTAGGCTTAAAGTGACTGTTTCAAAGAAGAGGTGATTTTTCACACGTATATTAGATTTACAGAATGGTCAAGATTGTACTGAATGATATGATATAAAAGTTTCTCTGCATATTTCCACTGGGATTATATTAGTGTATTGTAACTAAGTGTTATACATCAGCGTATTTCGACTGAATTTGGTATACTGTATTGTATTGTATATATTTTTGTATCTTAACTGAGGGTGATACATGCTTGAGTGTTTTAAGTAAAGGTTGATATATTTTAACCGAGAGTGATAATCGTCAGCGTATATTAATTGCAGCAGGGTTATAAACACTAGAGTGTGAACTTTTATTAAATCCTTTATTATTTATAGGGCCAGCCATCTGGCGAGGCTTTCATCCAGATGGATTCAGAACAATCAGCCTACCTGGCAGCACAGCAGCGCCACCATCGCTACATGGTCTTTGGAAAGAAACAGCGTTACATAGAAGTTTTTCAGTGTTCGGTGGATGACATGAACCTCGTCCTCACTGGTGGAATTCCTGTCCAGAGACAGCTTATTTCTCCAGGTAAGTTATGTTTGTTGGAGATACTTCTTTCACACACTCAAGTATCTCCAACAAGGACAACTTACCTAGATAAATGGGTGTGTAAAAGAAGTATCTCCAAGAAGGACAACTTACCTAGATAAACCTTTCACACACATACTCATTTATCTGGGTAAGTTGTCTTTGTTGGAGATACTTCTTTCACACACACTCATTTATCTAGGTAAGTTGTCCCTGTTGGAGATACTTCTTTCACACACACTCATTTATCTGGGTAAGTTGTCCTTGATGGAGGTGTTCTTTCTACACACATCTTATTTCTTCAGGCAAGTCATGTTTTCTGGAGGTAATTTTTGTTGGAAGTATTTTTTTCTGTACGGCGTATTTCTCCAGGGAAGTCACATATGTTAATGTTTCTTCTTTACAACTTTTGTTATTTTTCGACATTAGAACTTGTATTTTGTTTCGAAATTTCAGCAGGTTTCTATATTGGAATCTTTGCCCTGTAAATTTACACTAAAAACTATGCATCATACTTGCCATAAGTAACTAATGAAAAATGGGTATTTTATTAAAACATAAAAAAATAATGTTTTCATTTTGCTGCTTCTCCTGGAAATAACCTAAATTATTCAGTATATCTTGTGTTTAAGTACAAAATTAAATGTTTTGTATTTTTAATCTTGGTTAAAAATGAATACTTTATTTAAGATATACTTTTGATAATGTGATTAAAAAAACCCAACAACAACAAGTCATTATATAATGTGTTATTAGATATATCTCCCACAATTTACTTGATACAATTAGGGCTTTTATTGTCATTGTTATATTAGGAGGAACAATGCTGCCGCCACCTTATGGTGTATATCCTTACGTGCAGACGACTCCAGTGTTGCCGACGGTGGCTCCACTAACGCCACGAGTGCCTACCTACTACCCGCAAATTTTCTACTGGCCTTATCCGAGTCCACCTGTGTCGCCTACTACCTACTACAGTCACACTGGGCCTACCATGGTAATCATGCGCGGGCTTCCGTTTAACTCCGCTGTAGCTGACATTCTCAACTTTTTCCAGGGGTTTTCAGAGGTTAGGGGCTTTCTCGCTATTCCTTTGCTTTTTTTTTTGCCTATTGAACTACACTGTCAGCTACAAAGCTTCTTTTAACATTCTGTGAGATATAAAAGGTTCACTTGTCTTTCCATTTCCGCTAGGTGGAGGGATTCTGAAGAAACATTTTACGTTAGAAGTTGATTTATTTTGGTGGATTTCAATTTTAATGGTGTATGTCTGAAATGAAATTGCATGCGTTATCATATCGGAAGCAGTCTCAGCCAAACATTTAAAACGTCTGTGTAGGTGGTAATAAAACATTAATATATAAATATAATATATGTATGTATTAGTGAAGTATCGTGTATATACACATATATATACACAATATTATAATTTTAAGTTGTTCCAAATTTTAAAGAAATATTTTTTGGCAATGTTAAAATTTTTTGATAGGTTCCAATTTCTGGAAAATATATATTAGATTAAGTGAAGTAGATTTTAATTAATGGTTGATTAGTTAATTATAAATTTTTCTTAAACAAATTAAAAAGTATGTTCTCTGCAATATCGTTTTATTTTTCTCTTAAAGGGATTTTTAGTGTGTCTGTTAAGATATTGTTGTGAGATGTACTAGTTATGCACGAGAGAGGTTGGACATGTTTTATTCATCATTTATTTTTTCCTCGTTGTTTCATATTAATCATAAAATAGAGGCGCCACAATTTTGTAGTGTAGTACGGCTGCTCAGTGGTTATAGAGGGCTCTTTGAAAATTTTTAATTTATAGGTAGACTTATATTATAGGTGTACTTATTTCGTTAGTTTTTATAAATTTATAAAACTCGTATGCCAGAGTAACATTACCCGCCAACCAAATGAACTGTTATTCCATTTGCTAATGTAGTCGAACACGAAAATTTGAGCAATAATGTACGATTGTTTACAACTATTTTTGGAATGTGTGTTCCTTGTATGTTGTAGATTTTTTTTCTGGTTCACCAGGTTTTAAAGGTGACCACACCCAGAGCCGGATTAAGACCAGAGTTGTCCCATAAGCAACTCCACTTCTGTGGCTCCCCCTTTTTACACATTCCTCTGCTTCTTTTTTATTGTTTGCATTGAAATTTTACCAAACTTTTTACCAAAAATAATGCTTTTAAAATACTACAGTTCACTACTTAAAGTTATCTGGGAAGACTAAAAAAACAACAAACATAATAATTGTGGGTTCCGTGGGGTCATGGATAACTGCCTACTCCACCTTTTGGTTAATCCTGTCCTGACCACACCTAGTGTGGTGTTTGTTTGAATTTCGCGCAAAGCTACACGAGGGCTATCTGCGCTAGCCGTCCCTAATTTAGCAGTGTAAGACTAAAGAGAAGGAAGCTAGTCATCACCGCCTACTCATTTACCAACGCAGAGTAGGATTGACCTTCACATTATAACGCCCCCACGGCTGAAAGGGTGAGCATGTTTGGTGTGACGAGGATTCGAACCCACGACCCGCAGATTGCAAGTCGAGCGCCCTAACCACCTGGCCATGCCGAGTCCCTTGTGTAGGGTTTAGACGAGAAAGCGCTTAAGTTCATTTTAGAGTACATCATATCAGCATTCTTAGCAAACGTTTAGTTCATTGAATTTATGAACGTGGAATCTATTATTTATACAGAAAGAAGCTACACTCTTTCGATTTCGTAACATGTGAAATACAAACTTTTGCTTGAGGGCTATCTGCGCTAATTCAAACTTTTCTGAAATATGATATAAAACTCAAATATGTTTCAAAATACAAGGACCTCGACCTTCAGTGCAAGTCATATATTTTAAAAAGCTACAAAATTTTACAAACAATTGTTTCTGGTTAAGAAGTGCATTTAAATATCTGTAAAAAAATAATCGAAAATATTAGAAATAGCTTCACTGAAAACAGAAACAGAAAGCTGTATTCTTATTTTCTTAGAACAAAAAATGTATCGTAATGTGTTAAACGTCGTCTAAAAAAGTCAGACATGTTCAGTATCAGTAAAATTTAATACCAAAACTTACCTCTTTTCTTCTGAGTTTGTTAAAGTATTGATATTTCTTACGACTTTCTGTTGTTAAAGAATATCTAAATAGAGTATCAGGGTTTAAAATTGAAATATTTTTGGGTAGTTAACTGGTGTGAAATGGGTAACAAGGAAATTAAAGATGAACGCTGTTTGTCCAATGTTCTGTTAAACTACCCAAGAACTACGTATATTAATCAATAACTTGGATTAAATTATAATGATTTGTAATTAAGTTTTCGTGGGGTGTAGAGATAACAATGTTGGCATGCTTTCGAGCTCCGAGGATTTCATTAAACTATTAGATACTACAGTTAAAAATGAGAGAAGAACTAGAACAGTTTTAAGCCTACATCCGCGTTAATAGCCAGAAAAACTTGTCTGTGAGAAAATGATTTTTAAACTCTGAACATTAGGAGTTAAACACAAACTTAAAACCTAAGCGAATGAAAGAGCATCATGAACATTGTTCACATTTGTTAGGTTCTTTCTTTATTTACCAATCTCATTACCATCTCATTAGTCTAAGGTTTATCTTCCATACATCTATTTACCAATCTCATTATAATTTCATTAGTCTAAGGTTTATCTTCCATACATCTATTTACCAATCTCATTACCATTTCATTAGTCTAAGGTTTATCTTCCATACATCTATTTACCAATCTCATTACCATCTCATCAGTCTAAGGTTTATCTTCCATACTTCTATTTACCAATCTCATTACCATCTCATTAGTCTAAGGTTTATCTTCCATACATCTATTTACCAATTTCATTACCATTTCATTAGTCTCAGGTTTATCTTCCATACATCTATTTACCAATCTCATTACAATTTCATTAGTCTAAGGTTTATCTTCCATACATCTATTTCCCAATCTCATTACCATTTCATTAGTCTAAGGTTTATCTTACATATATCTATTTACCAATCTCATTACCATCTCATTAGTCTAAGGTTTATCTTCCATACAACTATTTACCAATATCATTACCATCTCATTAGTCTAAGGTTTATCTTCCATACATCTATTTTCCAATCTCATTACAATTTCATTAGTCTAAGGTTTATCTTCCATACATCTATTTACCAATCTCATTATAATTTTCATTAGTCTAGGTTTATCTTCCATACATCTATTTACCTAATCT